CCTTTATTATGTTGAGGTAAAGACTATCTATTCCAATTTTCTGCAAGGTTCTTATCATAATGAATGTTGTACCTTATCAAAAGCTTTTTCTGCATCTATAGAAATGATCATGTGATTCTTGCTTTTGACTCTATTGATATGGTGGATTACATTTATTGATGTATGTATGTTGAACCATCCCTGCATTCCTGGGATGAATCCCACTTGGTCATGGTGTATAATCTTCTTGATGATTTGCTGCATCCTATTTGCCAATATTTTATTGAGGATTTTTGCATCTGTGTTCATTAGGGAGATTGGTCTGTAGTTCTCTTTTTCAGTTGGGGCTTTCTCAGATTTTGGCACTAGAGTAATATTTGCTTCCAGGAATGACTTGGGAAGAATTGCTTCCCTTTCAATTTCATTGAAGAGTTTGATGAGTGTCAGCATTAGGTCTTCTTTGTCTTTCTTGTAGAATTCTGCAGTGAATCCGTCTGGGCCTGGGCTCTTCTTTGTAGGTAAGGAATTAATTACATTTTTTATTTCATTAGTAGAAATTGGGTTATTCAGCAGTTTTACATCTTCTTGACCTAGCTTTGGTACTTCATATGCTTCTAGGAATCTGTCTATTTCTTCTGTGTTATCAAACCTTTGAGAGTAGAGGTTTTTGAAATAGGTGTTGTTAATCTTCTGTATTTCAACTGGCTGACACCTAAAACTTAAAGGAGAGCTTTATTCTGACTCACAATCTAGAAGTTTCAGTCTTGGCATGGTCGGTGGCATGGTGGATGGACCTGGCATGGAGGAAATCTGCTTGCATCATGGTATCTGGGAAGCAGAGAGATGCTGGGAAGAGTTAGAAAAGAGGATAAACTCTTCGGCCACTCACCCACTAACCTGTTTCCTCTGGCCAGACCCTGCATGCCAACAGCAAGCCAGCTGTACCCTCCTATAATCTGCTCACTTTCCAAACACATGAGGCTTTGTGGGTCGTTTTACATCTAAGCCCTAACATTTAGTTATCAAAACCAGACACTGAACCTGGCCTCCTACTTTTTATATTCCTAAGACAGGAGATAGTGTGGGAAGCATCTGGCCCTAGGCTCAGAGCACATAGAGGGCCTTCTGGTTCTTGGGAACCTAAAAAGCCTCCTGCTGTAACTATACTTCCTTAACATTTTGACATGAACCTGAGAAATATGGTCCTACACTTCCCTTATTTCCTGAACATCCTGAATGAGCCTAAAAATATGCTCCTGCATATTTCCTGCATACTTCCTGGACATTTGGCATGAACCCAAGGAACATGTGCTGTAACTGCTTTAGTGTAATCAAGGGTATCCACATGGTCATCATGCATCAGAGTTTTTGATCCCTCTGGTGGGCTTTGGCAGCCATGTTGGTTCTCTCTAGGTTCTTATAAAGTTAAAAAAAAAAAGTTCCCCTCCTTAAATCAGAGGCAGATTTGCAGTTGACTGGAAAGAAGCCAGTTAGTCATGACTCCTGACTACTTCTCAATTTCTAGGAACACAAAAGAGAAGCCAACCCTGGATCTCACTGCAGTTGCTGTCTCTGGCTCTGCCCACGCTCTGTTCCTGAGGGTGTATTTTCTTTACCGATGGCTACCATTTCTCGGTGCTGTCCACTTGGATCTCTTCCAAATGCATTTTAACCTCAAAACAGATGTGGCTATTCTGGGTCAAACCATTCTTGAGTCTCTGTTTCTGCTGTGTGGAATGTACTTTCCTTTAGTAAATCTGCTTTTCATACTACTTCTGTATATTCCATTCAATTCTTAGTTCTGGATGTAAAGGACCTGGATATTAGGTGAGACTGAGACCAAGTGTCTGGTAAGAGCATTTCATATTTTATTGAAGTTTTGTTTAGGGTTGGATATTTGGATGGAGAGGAAACTTATTTTCTATAGTAATGAGAGCAGACAATAAGCCATTTATGTTTCTTGACATTCCAGTGTGCTGCTTGGCTATGTTCTCATTTCTTCACAGCTTTCTACTGCAGTTTAACAGGCACTCTAGTTTTAAGTTGCTCAGTGAAATCCAATTCAGTTGTGCTTCAGGGTACACAGGGATTTTGCATTCCAGGTCTAGTTTGGTTCTAATCCTCCTGTAGCATAATTTGGGACTCATTAGTCGGTGGCCCCAGCATGGACCATTGCCTCCAGCCCCTGCTTAACTTGCTCAAAGATCAGGCAAAGGTTTTGATGTTCTGACTGCTTCTTTTCTTACCATCCGATCAGTCCCTGGAGGAGAGAGAAGAAATATGAAGTATGTTTCAATTCGAATGATGCTGTATCCCAATTCCTGTGTCACTCTTAGAAGTTATTCTTACCTTTCCTCATCCTCTATGCCCCTCTTTCTGTCTTACTGACAACACTATTTGACTCGGGGCAAATCATTCAATTTATAATTACAGCTTAATGGAACCCTAGAAAATATTCATTTTAAGTCTTTCATTTTAGAACTAAGATAACTGCTTAGGAGTAACCCAAGTTTAATTAACCTTGTAGGGCCAGAATCCAGGTTCTTTCCCGATGTTTTTTATTCACAACTGAGAGAAAAAGATTCATACCCTAGCTGTCAAGAAAATTTCTTTATTATCCTGCATCTCAGTTTACCAGAGGAGGAAGAAAGAGGGAATGTTTGGATCAGATGATCTCGAAAATTCTTTTACAACATTAGCAGGCAAATAATTCTCAAATGTTGGTTGGAAACCCTCTGAACACCCTCCAGATAGGTAAACCAAGCAAAAATATATTTTTTTCTGATGTTAAAAACTATAACTGTTTCACCTGTGTGACAGAAAGGGACATAATGTGGCAGAACATAGTAGCACAGACACTAAACCTAGAATTCAGGCTTGGTCTTTTATTTGAAAAGCTCTATGATCTTAAGAAAGTCACTTAACCTCACTGTAACACATCATCCTTTAAAGGGGGATCAAAATAATTCTTACTATAAAATAGCTTTGGGGGTTAAATGTGTTCATAATATACAAGAGTAATGAGCACCATAGTAAGCAGCAGATACTTGCTAGCTCTCATTATTTCTAATGCCTGCAGTTAGTATGATATAGATCATGAAATAAGATAATTTGGTTAGAATAGAAGGAGTAGCAGGCTTCATTTACTCATGTATAGCTCTTTTCTTGGATTTTAAGTACCAAAAAGCACTGATTTATAAAAGGATTACACATAATTATTTTTAGTGTTTAAGGGGAGAAAGTTCTAACCATATCCACATCTAACCTATCGATTTAGTCTTGTTGGTAGATGTTATGGTTTGATAACTAGTGGTCAACTTAACGCCAGCTGGATTACATCAGCGTGCATTGAGAGAAGATGCTCCACCTGAGGAGGGTTGCCAGGATAAATAGGTGAGAAGAAGAGAGGTGTGGAGAGGGATTGAGGTGTTATGGAGGCATTGTTGGTTCTCCTACGAGTTGCTGTCTGAGCTGTTGGTTCTCCTGGAGAAGCTTTGGTCTTCACATTGAGCATTGCTTCCTGGCTCCGGAGGGGAAGACATGTGCTGCCTGGTCTCCAGGGTGAACTCGTCACGCTGCTTCCTGGCACGTTCCCGACTGTGCTTGTTGTCAGAGGAGCTCGGGGCCTCCGTGTCGCTGAGGACAGCTGTGGTGCCTTTCAGGACAGCCCCGCTCTTTGTTGTGAGTGTGACTTCTGGGCTCCAGTGTAGAACCCTCATCCCACTAGCACAGCTCCTTCATCCTGCTGGCATAGACTTTCTGGCTTCCACTGCTGACCCTTGGGTCTTCCTGGCACGAATCCGTAAAAGAGACTGGCGTGAGTCCTTCTTGTGGGCTCTGGACCTCCAGTTGGACTCGTGGAGGCCTTGTTCTGAGATCTGGGTTTTTATCTGAACTCATGTGGGACATTGCCATGGGGTTTAGACTCTTGACTAAATAATGTATGTCGTTGGTGTTGCGGATGGATTTCCTGCATTCTCCTGTGTTAACTTCCGTTTACCATTATAAAAATATTATAAACTCCATGTCCTGATCTGAATTGTTCTCTGTGTACAACCCCTGACTATGACAGTAGAGAAGATCCATTGCTGTGCTAAGAATACCAGAACTGTATTCTGCATCCCATAGCCCACGCTGTGGGGTAAGTTTCTTCAAATGTGTTGTAGACTGTTTATTTCCTTCACGAATCCAGAGAAATGCAAAATTCTTGCAAGTAGGCGCTTCATGGAATTGGTTCTTTGGATACAATTTTTCTAATCCTTGCCATAAGAAGAGGTGTATTTTGCTTGGGCTCCTCATCCGTATAAGGTATTTTTGATAGTCTTGGGTTATTTTCCTGGGGCATCGCTGTGGCTTGTATCTAGATATTCCCCCATAGCCTCATGTGGTCAAGGTGGGGGTTTTTCAGAGGTGGCTCTGCCTAGAGTATGCGATTGATTTGTGGTGCAATGCTGGGATTAAGGATGAGTGATTACTAAATCAGTCCCTTGAATGCTTTGGCACTATCCTAATCTCAGTAGCCTAGACAGAGTATAAAAAGATCAGAAAGGAGCTGCCACGGTCCCTTGCTTGCTTTGCTATTTCTGCCCACCATTAAACTGTTTCTCCTCTGCTGTACCACCCTGCTTTGGAACCAGCTGACTTATGGACTGAAACCTTGACGAACTGTGAGCCAAACTTTCCTCTTTTAATTTTGGGTGTCAGGTGTATCCTCTCAACGGTGAGAAAAGCACCTGCAACAGGGTTCTTGTACTTGAAAATTCCTCCTCCCCTTCTCAATTATCTTATTTGAAAGCATCCAGTTACAGCTACTGTCACAACCTTCTGTAAGAGTTTATCCCAAAGTCATTTGATGTTAGAACATTTGCCAAGTGCAATCCAAGTAACAGCTTGAAGATGGTTCTGGAACAGAAGTGTGCCAATGAGAGGCCCTGCCTGATCCAATACCCGGTGGTTGTTTGCATCAGATGAGATGACGAAGGTATCTGTGTCTTCCCTTCCTCTTGCTGCAGCCTGTAGATGAGAGGTGTGAGGGGAAGTCATGCGGAGGTGAACCTGAATCAGCAGCAGCCTCATCCTCTGCCAGCAAGTTCAGGTGAGTGAAGAGCCACTGAGAATCACAGGTGCACAGTCACCAGGTGGGCAGGAAAGACATGATCCACTGCATCCTCATGGCCCCTTTGGCATGAAGGACAGCCAAGTCACAAAGCATCACCTGTTCTGCCCAGACAGTTTATGCATCAATCAGTCTCCATCTGGGGTGACTACCAGGTGGGAAAATGTGCCAGCCATGGGGTTTGCTCATTGCTGTGCCAAGTACAACAGGATGAGGAAAGTCAGAGCAAGAGCAAAGAGGCTTAGAGGGAGGTGGCCTTCCCATAGCTTTTCAGGGAAGGGCGTTTTCTAACATTTTCTCTTTGTTATGGTAACTTCTGGAGTTCCTGTCCTTCCTTCAAAGGATGACAACTTCATCTCCTCTGTCTATCCAGAGTTGGTTCTCCACAGCAAGAGCTAAGGACTGCCACTCCAGACCCCCCTCCTCTCAATTCCTGCTCTTTCTGCCCTGAGCCTGAATTATCCTAGTCTCTCCTATGCAAAGGAATTAGGGGTCATGGTGCCCAGCAAAGATGTCATGCTCTACAGTGAGTAAGCTGCTGGTTTCATGTGATGCCCCGAGGGCAGTATTGTGCAAAACCTCCCTTTCCATGGATTTTCTAGGAAATGTTCCTTGCAACAAAGTATTAGGAGTTAGACCCTCATACAAAGGAGATCCAGGAACACCATAAAAAGCATAAGGGTTGCAAGAAGCAGAATCTCAAGCCAGGAAGAAAAGACGCCAAACAGAGATTGGCAGGAAGGTGATTTGAAGCCTTGCAGAATCCTGCATACATAAACTTGAAGGCATTTGTGTATTTTTAGACCTTTAGATTCTTCAGCAGTTACATAAACAGAAAACATACCCTAGTCCCTGGGTCCTTTGGCCAACAGGTATGGTGATGGTAGATTCCCTCCCTTCTGACCATTTTTGCACCAGACACTGGTTAGACTCCTCTTCTGCTCCATCAGGCTCACTGGGCTCAGTCTCTCCTTCTCTGGAGTCCTTTTTTTATTCCTAGATTGTTGGCTGCTGCTCTGAGGGTGCCTACAATGCTCAGTAGTGCCTATTACAGTGACTGCGTTGGTAAATGTGTCTGTGCTTTGCTCCTTTGTCTATGCAATGTGATAAACTCTTCAGGAATCAGAAGTGTATATTTGCCTGCTCTGTGTTTATCCTTAAATGTCACATGGAACCTAGCCTATACTGGTCATCATTTGTTATGTAAACTCAAAAATGTTGACTCTTCATTTCCCATGAAAATTGCAATCTCAGCCAGTTTAAAACCATCATAATTCACTTTATTTTTCAATTTATTTAGTTTCTGTTTGTTTTCTTTTGAGGCAGAGTCTTGCTATGTAGTCTAGGCTGGCCTTGAACTCATGGTGATCCTTCTGCCTTTAGCCTCCCAAGTGCTGCAATTACAGGCATGGGCCACCACCCCTAGCCCATGATGCATTTTAAAATTAGCATTTATTTTGAAAAACTCTACTAGCAAAAAAAGTTAAGCGGTAAGTAGGATAAATAGGCAAAAGCAAACAAGCAAATAAACAAGAAAAAACTCCTACTGAGTATGTTACACACATAACATGATCAAATCTCATTTTAACAAATGGGAGTTCCTTGCACCATTTTATAAATCAGGAAATAGAAAATTCACAAAAGCAGAATGACCAAAAGCATTCTGGAGTTGAATTTCAAACCTAGTTCCAGCTGACTCAAGGTAGGCATTACCCCACATGGCTTTGCTCATATAAAGACTATTACATTTTCCCTGTAGCTGTGCAGATTCTAATCTATAATTCTTATAAAAGCTCATTGTAAGCATAAGAAACTTAGCATGTGGACATGGGAGAGTGGGCTCTCAGCATTAGTAGGTTCTACATCCACCTCTGTGGATTCAACTCACCATGGAACAAAAATGTTGAAAAAAAAACTTACTATGTTGTCTGTCAGCTTTCTTATGATTGGGACACAATACCCAGCACCCCCCTTTTCAAGGAAGAGAGGTTTAATTTGCCCGTGGTTCCAATCCATGTTGTCAGGCTCTAAGGCAGAAACAACGTGGCAGAGGGTGGCGCCTAGCAACTGCTGCTCAGTGCACGTCAACCAGGAAGGAGACAGGGGAGCAGCACACCGGAGCACAAGGCAACAGGAAGTGGATGGAGGACCCGAGGCCACAGCTCCATGACACATGCAGATTTGCCTAGATCCTGAGTGGATCCCAAAACGAATCAATTTGAAACTCCATTCTACTGAGCGTGGGTAGACTTGTTTCCTGTTATTCCTGAAACAAGACAATAACCGCTATTTGTGCAGTGTTTTCAATGGTAATAGGTATTACAAGGAATCTACATAGGATGTGTGGGAGGATGTGGGCACGTTTTTTGCAAATATGATGCCATTTATTTTATATAAGGGACTCAAGCAGCTGCACACCTTGGTATGGCCACCTGGTGTGTGTGCGTTTGTGTCCTGGAATTAATCTCCAGATGACACCTATGAATGACTATATTTAAAACAATGTATGTTTAAAACACAGAACTAGGGCACTTCCTAAATGACCTCTCCCCATACATAACCTTTAATTTTTAAAGCATTATTTTATTTTCAGTAAGCCAAGTCAAAAGGAAAGTAGAAGGATCTCAATGCCAGGCTATTCCACGGAGGAGACTGATTTGCCTTCATTAATGTTCCAATCTTTAGTATGCAAATTATATGCAGTTTTCGTTTCTTCTCTTTATGCTTGTGGCGAGTTATCATTCGCTCCCACTGAGGGACTGCCCTTGGAAATGAAAAGAGCCAAGTCTTTAAATGTAGCGGGACTCTGATTGGAGCAGGAGTGCAGAGGCCTGCCTGAAGGCCTGAGATCAGCTAAAAGACTTCTCAAGTTCTTTTCTAGTCCTAGGAGTCATTTAATATTTTATTTTGCTAATTCTAATTTTCCCTCCAATAAATGTTTCTAAATTTGGGAGCACCATATTATTGATGTGGATGTTTACCGTGTTGACATTCCTATGTGTATCACATCTTTGGGTGACTCAAGTGATGGTAGTTTAAAATTGCATAAATCTATAAATAATCATCAGGAATTTCAGGAGTAGCTCTGATTCCCTTTATTTAGCTCTTTGCCTCCAAAGGAATGGGGTGCCAGCATCAAAATTGTCTTGCTTAGTATTTCCTTCCAAGTAAGATGTAAGGTTAAGAAAGATTAAGTAAGAAAAATTAAGTAAGATTAAAAACAAGTAAGATTAAGAAATACAGTGTGTGTTTAAATTAAAGAAAATTATTATAGCAGAAGAGTTAAATAATCACTGAATTTTTGATCACTCTTATATTCTCATCCTTTAGTTCCTTATCTACTAATTAACATTATAGTGATTGCTCTCTGCTACCTTGTACTTTTTTCTTTCTTCATTTAATCCTTAGCACTGACAGAATGTGGAACCTTTTTCTCATCTACTGACACTGAGCACACTGAAGGCTCCAACACCAAGACCGTGGAGTTCACCATAGTGGGCAGTGGTGGGACCGGTGGATAGAATGAAATCCCTGGACTCTGTAAACCATGCCCCTTTGTAGTGTGTTTCACCAGCCTCCTTGCCTTTGCCCCTGTGCAGGGAGGATGACAGGAATGTGTGTTGTCGGATGGGCCAGAGAGGGCAGCTGGGAGGGGACTGGGCACATAGCTTTGCGTCTGGTACAAACGTGTGCATTTCTAAAGACCAGGAATCTTAGCAGCAACTTAGATGAAATGTCTCACGTGGACATTGCCTAGGAGGATGATCTGTGACCACCAGGGAATTCTAGCAGCAAGAATTATGCGGATCCATCATGAAGACAGGAACTGGGGGCCAAAGGGCAATCACTCCATGGGGGAATCATGAGTGCAGTGGTCCCTGCAGGATTTTGAAAAACCCTTTGTGCAGCTCAAGAAAGAACCATGATGTGGACACCTGCCAGTGGGAAGCTCAGTGGCCCTCTGGAGCTCCTTTGCTCTGATCCTACTGCCTCTGGCAGACCCTGTAGACACTGGTGACAGGACAAAGAGGGAGTGGGGACGTGGAGGAGCACTCTCTCCCTGCACAGCATCACTTCAGGGCCTGGCTTGTGCTGCTGTGAAACAGACCTGAGGTGGAAGCTTAAATTAGATTAGACAGTCTTGTCTGCAGGAACTGTTTTATAAGAAACCCTTCTTGTGACTGAAAACTGACTTAAAATTTTCATTATGTGTCTGACATGCCATCAGAAGGCACAGGGAATGGACTCTGATAAGACATGTGAGGGATTGGAGGAAAATTCTTCAGAGCCTGCTTGAGTTGAATCTCATCAAGGCCAGCTGTTCAGTGAGCTGGTTACTGGCTTAGGTCACAGATAAAGACGTTCAGCACAAGCTGTCAACACACACTGTCTTGCTTTCTGGAGCTGTGTCCATTGCTTAGGATCCTCAGTTCTTAATCAAGGGCTCCTCATGCTTCAGGACTTGAGGGACAGCTGTAATCTTCCTTGGAGTGAGATAAGGGAAATATAATAATGCTTGATATTTTGTGTTTAATTAACTGTGGTCTGCTGTTATGGTAAAAGTTTTTATCTGTCTTAATCTGTGAAACTACTGCAAAGTGAAGGCTTTTATTAGCCTCATTTTAAAGATGAAAAGTCTGAGTGGGCCTCAGTGACTCCAGCTGCCTGAGGTCACACAGATGGTGAGTGGCCTGGTCAGCATTGAGCGCCTGTCAGTGTACCCTTGTCTCCTCACCTCACATGTCATCCTGTCCTTTCCTAAGCCTCAGACACCTGGTCAGTGGCCCTCAGCCGTGGATGTGCCTAGCTGACATTGGCAAGAGGCACATCTGATTTGCTACAAATAGGGTAGGTGATGTGACAGTCGATCTAGTGACCAACCGTCATGGCTGTAGCTCAGCTTATCACCAGGCACATAACTCTTTTTAAAAAGTCAGTAATTCCTGTGCTTGCTTTGGCCACACATATACTAAAAAAAACAAGTCAGTAATTCCAAGGCTGAGCCACCCTGTGTTAGGTCCTGACCCCTTTATCACAGGACTGTAGCAATGTGTATTTTAATAATCATCTCTTCATCTTAGAGTAGCATTAGATGTATGGAAAAGTTGCAAAGGTATTCAGAAGGGCTCGCACAGACACCTTACACAGTCATTGTTCTCTCATATAAATATACTTTGTCATAAATGATGAATAAATCAACTTGCCTGTGTGTGTGTGTGCGTGTGTGCATCCATGTGTGCCCGCACATGTGTATGTGTGGGTATTACTGGGGACTGGAATCGAGCATACACAGCTATATCCACAGCCCTTAAAATTTTATTTTTTATAGTTTTGAGGTAGGATCTTGTTAAGAACCTCATTCAAGCTCAGGTTGGGCTTGAACTTGTGATCCTCCTGTGTCACCCTCCCAAATTGCAGGGCTTACAGTCATGTACCACTTCACTCCACTAATAAACTAACACTTTTTCAGGTGTTCTTAGCTTTTACAGAATCTGGTCCCAGATCTCATACTCTATTGTATTGCTATGACCCCTTAGGGTCTTTTATGGTGCTTTTCTTATGGCTAGTTTGAGGTTATGACATTTGGAAGGAAGATGACAGAGATAAATGTCACTCTCATCACGTACTGGGGACACGTGCTATTTGACTTATTGCTGTTAACCTCAACTGCCTGGCTAATGGAGCCTCACCATTATCTGTACTGAAAAAGTACTTTCCATCTGTTCCTTTCCAAACTGCATTCTTTGTTAGGAACTCATTATATGCAGCCTGTCTCTTGGGAATGGAGAATTCTATACCATCTTCTTGAGGGGGAAGAATATATAGAAATCACTTGGAATTTTTTTTACATAGGGAATTTGGCTGTGCTCTCCCATTTCATTACTAATTCAATCATTTATTTATATTAGTGTAGTTGGCTCCCAAAAGATGTCCATAACCTAACTCCTACGATTTGTGAGTGTGAAGCTGTTTGGAGGGAACTAGAGTTGTAATTAAGTATCTCAAGATGAGATCAAGCTGGGGTATCCAGGTGACCTAAGCCCAGCAACAGGTATCTACAGAAGAGGCAGGAGAGGAGGAGAAGCAGAAGAAGAGGTCAGGGGAAGTGGAGGCAGAGTCTGGATGATGTGGCCACAGAGGGACATCTCGAAGCTGGAAGAGGCAAAGAACAGATTCTCCCCTACACGTTCAGAGAGAGAGAGAGAGAGACAGAGAGAGAGAGAGAGAGAGACAGACAGACAGACAGAGACAGAGACAGAGACAGAGACAAAGAGAGACAGAGACAAAGAGAGAGACAGAGACAGAAAATAGATATGTTAACATCTTAATTGCAGAATGCTGAGAACTGAGGAAATAAATTTCTGTTCTTTTAAGTTGCCCAGTTTGTCAATTTACTACAGCAGTCATAGAAAATAAACACAGTCAGTATGGCTTTATAGATATTTATTAGATTTATAATCTAATACTATGTTATTTATTTTAGTGCTCATATTGTTCCAGCTTTGGCTATTGGAAGCTCTTTTAGGTAGCAATGGTAGTTTTTGATGGGTGTCCTTGGTTTCTATTCTAATATAAGCTGCTTCGTAGTGGACCATTAGTACTGTTATAATTTGAATATTAAATGTCCTCAAACGTGTAGGCTGAAGGTTAGTTTTCCACCAGTGTCATTTTTGGGAGATGGGGTGCAGTGGAAGGAAGTTAAGTCACTGGAGGCCACGCCCTTGAAGGGGACACTGGCACCTTGGTCTCTTCCTGTCTCTTACTTCCTACTTGCCATGAGGACAACAGGCCTCCTCTGTTGTATGCTCTTGCCAAATGCACTGGGCTGCTACAAACCCAAAGCAACAAGGCCAAGGGACTATGGACTGAAACCTCTGAACTGTGAACCAAAATGTATGTTTCCTCCTTTAAATGGATTGTCTCCAATATTTTATCCCAGTGATGTAAGGCTGACACCCCTCCTTATGTAAATACCGCCTTTCAGGGTCAGACCCTTGAGTCAGTTTGTCTGGATCCCACTTATCTCCAAATCCTACGTCAGATGGTGATCTTCAGAGTTTTATTAATTGTAATCATTGCGCAATCCATCAGCACGCCCAGGCATTTAAGAACTGCATTTTAGAAGGCTTGCCAGCAGAAGAAAGCAGTAAGCAAGAATGCAGGCACGGTGCAAGGTTTTCTCATGCCCTAAAACTTTTATGTTTAAGCAACACAATTGCATAACATTAATGAACAAAATGAGTAGGCAGAAGAAAAAATATGCTTTTGTACAGATCCCGAGCTGCGTCTTTCCCTGATAAGACAAAATTAGAGTTTTTCTCTTAGCAAATCCGAAATTTCAGGTGCTTAGGTCTGGAATATGCACAAGCCCACATTTGCTAAGGAATTTTCTTGAAGGTTCTGAGAGTTTAGGTGAAATATGAAGAAGATTTTGGGGGATAATTTTTAAACTTCCTCTCTTTGTAAGCCAGCAAGTCCTCAGTAAAGTCTCTACATAACTTGTAAGATTATTATCTGTTCCCCCTGTGGAGCAGAGTGATTTGTTCTGAGAATTGAAAG